GATATCCGGTAACGGTGGTTGACCCAATACCTACTATCTCATCGCTCGGGAGCCGCAACTATGACAACGACTGTTGTGAGTAATAATATCAATATGTCTGATGAGTAATAGGGGACTGGTTTCACTCTTAAAGAACCAGGTGTTACTAATAACCATAGAGCCATCAGTGGTAACCTCAGAACAGCGACGCCACCCCTCTTCCAAATGATAAGAACACGAATTGAAGAAATCATGACCACACATCCTCCCGATCGAAACCAACTCCCTCTTCCCCAAGACTCTTTACCAAGAACAGAAGGCACGATCAATAGTAAACCCCTTTTTGCAACCCAATCATACCCTCCTCCCTCCCATCCATCGCCACACTCTTGATACCAAAATCCTCGACTGCCAAATCCGCAGCATCCAACTCCGCGAGAACTCCAGCCTCTTCCACCTCTTTCCTGCTTCCGCCAGAGCTGCCCTGCTCAATACACTTAAAGCTTCCGAACTTGGGCATGCCGATTGCGATACCGGGGAACGTCAGCTTCTGAAGAATGTCGCCTGTACACGAAAAGTTCTGGTAGAGGGCGCACGTAGAGCCTTGATCAGGTCCGAGTGATGCGATACCGCCAGGGCTGCCTTGGATGTGGCATTCCGTGTTGGGTTGCGTCCAGCTGCATTCGCCGGCGAAGTTGGATTTGGTGCAGGTGTAGTAGGCACCAGGAAGACCGCGCCGGGAAAGAAGATGTGTTGGTAAGGCTGAGATGGTGGTTGTAGTGGTGGCAATGGTGAGTAAGAGGGCTATGAGCGCGATAGCTGTATACATTGCCGGGTTCGTTGGACCGGACGACGATTAGGAATTAGCTTTGGGCTATGCCTGTGTGTATGGCGTAGTGCGCGTATGTGTGTAATTTGTCTTTGGGGAACACTTGACTCGGTGTTTCAAATGTTCTTATGACAGCCGTGGGGTGTATTTGTGACTGAGCCTTATCGTCTTGTGAGCCACCGAGCCTCATGATTGTCTGCGCGCGTCGTACGGACGTAGATTATACGGTCACGGGTTTGCGTACCTATTGCACAAACGGACAGGTTGGTGCATCAAGCACAAAGTCTGGAGTTTGTCTCTTTGTCACGGACAGCAAACATCTACAAGGAGATGTAGAGATGTATTGGCGTGACTCCATGGCGATGACAACGCCACGAAAGCTTTCAATAGGCCATACGAAGAAACCAAAAGACGTATAGAGAGGGGAAGAAGAATTGCAAGAGTGCCAAAATATCCAAAGACTAGAGATGTGAGAAGGTGATATGTGCTACAAGGTGCATCGGATGCGCTCCGCAACGATGGCGCGACATGGGTGGGTTGCTGCTTTGAAACGTCCTTCAGCGGGGCTGATGATGAGATGCAACCAAAAGGGTCGCAGTACTCGCAAGCCCATGCCACGAATCGTCTTACAGCCGCGAACTCGCTGGGGGACGCGGGTGGCATGCATCTGGGCTGTGTCATCAACGTGTCGCCGCCAAGCTGTCGCCGGTGCCGCCAATACGCACTTTTGGCTTGACAGGTATGACTGGGTTTGGTTGGTTATGATCGTCAGGTACGAAGCTGCGAGACGTCTGCAGGATGCCGCTATAGTGGACAGCGATCTTACACGTCGCATGGGTCGTGCATTTACAAAAGTGCTGCTCTTCGCGTCGGGTTGTAAAGTTTGTGTCGTTTTGGTCGTACCTAGGTACCTAGGTAGGCAGGTGTGCATGATAGAGGCGCGACGGTGACGCGCCGGCAATAGGTATGCACATGCCATGCCATGCCACGCCAACATCGAACTCACATGCCATGCTTTGGACTTGAAAAGCAAAGAAAAGGGTCCATTACAATCTCACTCCTCCTATCTTGCGCAGGGGCTGTTGGGTACAGAAGATAGATTGCGCGGTCAAAGGATAGGTAAGTCGGCCGCAATTTGCTTGCTTATGCCAGCGTCATCTTACACTCGGCAATAGAAGAACGTTATCTTCACATGAGTCTAACGAGCCATCACAGTAAACTTAATACAGGTGTACATCAAAGGGCGAAGGCATCCTCGGACCCTACAGGTCAGTGGCTATCGCAAGCCCGACATGCAACCCACCACCATTTCCACCCTTCCACATCTACCAAACGGCCCGACACGATCCGAGGACTCAAATCCACTACCCCCAAAAATAAACCTACACAATGCTTCCGCTTCATGATGCGCAAAACGGCATGCGCCGCGTTCCACTATTCTTTCGTTGCGTCTTCCGAAACCGCGAAACCCCAGGCGTTTTGCAAATAGGGAACCACCCCAACTGTGGGGGTACCTAGCCACGCTAACACGTTAGTGAGGTTGATCAAACACACTCGGCACAGTACAGATGTGGTTTCGTGGATGGTATGCTGCAGGCATTTACTATGTCATGGGGATTGCTGAGCGTAAGGATAGTATAGCTGGGACGTAGTCGCTATCTTCTACGTCGTGTTGTACGTTACCACACAGCAGCTCGGGGGTGTACACGAGTCTCTGCGGTAAGTCTTGATTATGAGAATCGCTGTGAGTACCTCCAGGTTATGAGATCAGCCTCATTGATGTATCGCACGACGGTCACAATATGCTCCAGGGTATGTTGGAATGCTCATCTGTATCTCATTCAAAGCCACTGTCACCAGCAACTAGATATAACCGCTACTCTCCAAACCTGCAAGCAGATCTGTAAACGCCACGTCACGCCACATGATTTAACCCCGTCCTTACGATAGTCTAGCCCTCTTGCGAGCCCAACCTGCCGGATTCGAGGACGAGGACATCTGCTGCTGCTCGGGAAAACCTCGGCCGCCAGCAGTGAAAACGAACGCCGGTCGTACTAAAGCTGGAGCTCGAGGAGTAGGCGGCTTCGCCATGTGTTGTGAGATGTAAGCCTCATACATCTCCTTTTGCTTCATCAACTCCTTTTGATGGCCTTGTTTCATCTGGAGCACCTGGGCTCCGCATCGCTTCCCGAGCGCGTTCAACTTCTTTCGACACTTCTCTTCCAGGGCTTGGTCGTAATCTAGATAGTCTTGGATGTCCTGGATTCGCTTGAGCTCGGCAGCCTCGGTCGCTGAGAGAACCTTGGCTACGGTGTTCTGCCAACTGTTCATGATGAATGTCAGCTCAGGAGCACGTCTGGCCAACTCGTTGGTATCGAGCTCTTGTACGTTCTTCGCAGCTGATCTGATGTGGTTGAGGAGAGCATGGAGTGGAGTGTGTGGCGGAGTCGAACCAGACGTAGAGCCGCTGCCGGTAGATCCGTATGAGCTAGACCTAGCAGTAGACTTCGCTGGCTCAGAAGCTGCCAATAGCGACAAGATCTTCGTTTCGGCGATGTTGGAGTCGTCATGTACCGAGGGGAAGGGGCGCACAACGTTACGATCTTCAATTGTCTTGCCCAGAGAGCGTGCAATAGCTTCAGCAATTTCCTCCTCGTCTTCGTCGCTGGCGTTGTCATTTCCCGCGGCACGTGGAGATTCCGACTGTTCCGCTCTCTTTCCAGCTTTCAAAGAAGAGATGGTGTGTGACCCCGTTTTGCTCTGCCTTGCGACGTTTTGTGAACAGTAGTCGATCCTGGTCGCTCGTCGCGCCGCGTTCTCGTAGAAGTCATTACCGCCGTGGGCGCTGAGAACGATCCCTTTGAGGGTCTCTTCACGCTTCGCTTCGTCTTTGACTATGTTGCTGGTCGCATCTGCATTGCGTGAAATAGCGGAACGGCGGCTGTACGTTATAGGCGGTCTAGGGGCACTAGAGGGACCGGGAGTGAGCTGTGAAGGCATCGTGTTAGACGATGGTGCAACGTCTGCGTTAAGCGGAAAGAGAGTCATCGTGACGCAGGTGAAATAGAATATATAGGTAGACCGTGAAAGACATGCACAAGTTGGGGTCCGACGTGAGAAATAGGGTTTTGACGTAGTCCCGCGGGCGAGCAGGGGGGGAAGTGATTTCCACAATAGAAACAACGGGTGACAGATACGAATGGGGAAAAGGTCAGACTACAGTAGCCCAAGGGTGCGTGACCAGGAGTAAAAAAGTGAAGGTGAAGGGAAAGACGGTGACTACAGGCGATCAATGACGTTCGTCTTCGCCAGCTCAATTCCGTGTGCCTCTAGTGAGGCTGCTCTGCTGCCTATTATACATTCGCAAGTCTTGAAAGTAGTTGCTGCACACCACTCATGTACAATGCTAGACCGATCCAGGTTCTCGCCGCTGACGACCTGCCCACTGGTCAAGACGTCAAATTTTCTCAGTTTGAGCAGCGCGGGGGTATTGGTATTTTCTTGGGAGGATCATGGGTCTTCGGTGAGCGCTGGCGAAAGCTTGTGTAGCGATGGGGGAGCTGTCCGTCCGGATGGTGGTGCCAATGGCCATGAAGAAGCTGCAGGAAATGTCAGAACATAACAGCGTGAGCAGCTGGAGTAAACTATGCATACCCAAAGGTCGCAGCAGATCCCATCATATATTGGCCTAGTGTGCGCAGCATTCCGTTGGGTCCAGGGCCGAAGCGGACGATGTTGGTGAAGCCTACAAGAGTCAGCAAAGAGCATGCAAAGGCGTGAGACGAGGCGAACCGAAGATGAAGCCAATGATCAGGCCGACGGCTGTCAGGAGGTCAGCGCATGTATTTCCTGGTCTGTATGTTCACCGTACATCCACCCATCATGCCACCCATCTTCACTATGCGCTGTTAGCTATGGCCAGGCACAGGCAAACTCAGAGCCCTACGCTTGTCTAATGTCGAAGGGCCATGCGCCCCTTGAGGCATTGAGCCGACTGGTACTGGCATCTTGTAGCTCTGCAGCGTCGGATGGTGAGAGAAGGCAGGAGGGGAGTTTGAGTGTCCCACTTGAAGCTGCAGTCTCGCCCGCCGCGGCTCATCAACGCCAAGACGAAACCACCGAAATCCGGGGAAAACGCAGCCATGGATGCACGAGGAAGCTACTGCTGGGCATGTCGACACGACGTCAGCAGATGCAGTGGCACGCAAGAGGTACAGCGCGTTCAGCCCCTACATGAGGCTTTGGTGGTTTCCACAGACTCCCTTGACCTGACACGACGGCGCTGCGCACGTGACCTCTGCAACGGCTGCCCAGGTGGCCCCTTCAGTCCAGGGCTGGCGGGAATGAGGCGAAATAGTTTCAACCACGGCTTGACATCTCCACCGCGCGCGTGTTGGACGTAGCCGCAGCATCTGCCTCGTTGCGTCGTGATTCTGCTCGTGCTGCCCCCTACTCGACGTCGCCATTGCGCCTGAGCCGTCGTGTCGCCCAGCTGGCCAGTAAGCGTTGCAGCGTCCCCAAGGCCCGAACAGGACCTCTGCTCGTCGAAACACGCTCCCCCATCTATACTGCCCACCCCAACCATCACGCAGCCCGTCCCGTGGCCTCCGCTGCTGCCCACCCATCCCAGAGACGCTGCTGCTGCATCCTCCGCCTGTCTGCAGCGCCTTGCATCGCTGCGACGTCGCACGGGCTCTCCCCGGCCAGCACACGAACGACAGAAGACGACGACGACGACGACGACGACGGCGGCGGGGGGGGGGGGGGG